TAGACACACCACACCCAACTAAGTACGTGCAGGACGATTCCTGTTTTAAGGACAGCGTGTCACACACTCGACTTGGTCTTTTAATTATTGTTACACGTTCAACAATAATAAAATTCTGTAAGGTTTATTTTATTTGTTTCAATTATTTCAATTATTTTATTTTACACAAAAGACTTGTTTCTAACAATCTTAAGACAAATCGAATTATTCTGTTTACAAGAATTTTTTCGTTTGTTTCATTTTTCTCTTTCTTACGTTTAGAAAATTATTTTCTGTGGAATTTACAAAATAATATTCTGGTTGGAAAAACAAATATGATTATATGCTATTGACAATATAGGTAATATACTGTCTCTTTTCTTTGACAACAACTAGTAGTACGATACTGGGTCATTAACAATTCAGGAATATATTTTGTGAAATTTTTCAGAATTAATTTTGGGTTTTTTAGAGAAATTATTTTTTGGATTTTCCGATTATTTAAAAATTGTTTTATTCCAAATAAGGATAATTGAAAATATCATTAGATTTTTTAAGGGTAAATCGTCAATTTGGTAAAATATAAACTAATTTGACAAAAATAAATGTCAAACAAATATTTTTGAATTTTTAAAAATTATTTCTACCTACTAAAAATAAAATTATGTAAAATAGATAAATCTTTTAGGCATTTATTTTTTTTTATCAAATTAATTTTTATTATGTGTTTGGATGATGATCATGTAAAATTAATTTTAAAAAATTAATCATGTAATTTTTATTAATTTTACATAATTTTATCATTGGTGGATAAAAATAATTTTTAAAAAATTAAAAATATTTTTTTGACATTTATTTTTGTCAAATTAGTTTATATTTTATCAAATTGACAATTTTACCCTTGAAAAATCTAATGATATCTTCAATTGTCCTTATTTGGAACAAGATTCAAAATTCATGATCAAATGTGTCACAATTGAAAAGTCAAGGACCAAAATGACATAAGTCCCAAACTATAGGGACTATTAGTGTAATTAACCATTTTTAAAATTATATTTGTCATTTAATTTTATGAAACAAATGTGATTTGACTATGTAATTATCAATGCTTGATTAATATGAATCTTGCAAACGAATGATATATAAACCTTAGAATAGAACCAATAAACCAAACAACTTTTATCAAGTGGAGAAAAGCTATTTCTGAACATTTTTTTATTTGCAACATGGAGTGGGGGAAACAAGATGATTTCTTGTAACTTGTTACCCATCTTCTTACTTTGGAATGTCAACAAATCTACATATCATCAGATAACTTGTTTGTCTAAATGACCCTTTTTTTTAATATTTCATATTTCTCAAAATCCATACGTTACTCTTCTTATAAAGAAATAAAAATTTCATTTTTTTGTTGTTTGATTCAATGTCAAATCATTCTCTTTCAATTCCAACTATATTCCACATGCTCCATCTTCCACGTTTAAGATAAAACCTCATTCCTAAAAAAAAATAAATAAAAATGTTTTAAAAAAAATGAAAAGACATTTGAAAATGTTGACATTTGCTCTATTGAAAAGAAAAAAAATATTTTTTACTAGGGACAATATTTAATATTTTTAATTGTTAAAGAAATAGGACTAGTATTTCTAGTTAAGTTTTTGGAGAATAATTTGACGGTGTTAAGTGATGGAGTAGAATAATACTCCAAGACTATCAAATAATCACTCATTAAAAAGAGATGGCAAATTTGATTGATCAAGTTAGCAATAAAGATGCCTCAGGTTTGAGCCTCACAATAACCTTACTTGATCTATGTGATTAAGATTTAAAAGTTTAAGATTTAAAATTTAGAATTATCATAAAATTTGTATTTATCCTTGATGACAATAGATGGGTTTACGGTTGTCACTGGATTCACGATTGAGTGGGGTTGATTGATTGAATTTGAGAAAAGATAGGGATCATGAAAAAACTTTCATGAAACTGGTCATGAAAAATTTATGACCCTTGGATTATCTTGATTAGTGTGTGGTGTTTATTTTAAGTGTAATCCAAGGGTCATAAATCTTTCATGATCATTTTCATGAAAGTTTTTTCATGATACCTAGCATTGCTCATTGAATTTTGGGCCCTCTATACATGACTTACAAACAACTTCTTAAGAATTTATTGTTAGGTGTCATTTTTCAAAATCCTCCGACGAACAAGTTAGTTTTCTTAAAGGTAATAGTCAGATATGAGAAGGAGATAAATACTTGAGTGTGCATTTTGATTATATGTATATTCTTACCAGTTAAGGAGGAAAATATTGTGGGGGCACCTTACACCTCTCATGGAACACCACGTGGCATACTTTTACGCAATCTTTTAAACCAAAATTTCATTATTACTTCATAATTATGTTCATGGAGGCTGTACTAACTTAACTATCAGTGCCTCCGATGTTAGTCAACTAAAGCACTAACAGTGTCCTATTTTGAATTTCGTTTATACGTCGATCAATAATGTAGTCTATTTCCTATAATAACAATTTCCTTTTGTACTAAAATAATCAAAATAGTAAACCTTGTTAGAAAAATCAAACTCAAGTTTCGACCAAACCTCATTATGGTAGTATAAGAAGGGTGTTCTAACATCTGAAAAAGGGAGACAGGAAAAGTAGGGAGAAGAGAAAGATGAGTGGTTTGTGCAATAATAGTGAGGAGGAGGACGAAGAAGTGCTGCTTCCAGGGTTTAGGTTCCATCCAACAGATGAAGAGCTTCTTGGATTTTATCTTAGGAGAAAGGTGGAGAACAAACCAAACACTATTGAACTCATCAAACACATTGATATCTGCAAATATGATCCTTGGGATCTTCCAAGTTTGCTCTCTACCCTTCCATTACTTCTTACTTTTCAGTTTTTTAATATTAATTTATTATTTTACTTTTCGATTCAATGCACAAGGCTTTCGTAAAAGTAGGATTTAGATAGGTCAAGTTGTGTTCAACTTTACTCCCAATTCGGAGAGATTGCTTCTTTAGGCCAACGATGCTCTATCTCAATGGCGGCTCAATTTTGTTTTATTTTTTTAGACTTTAGGCTAAATATCAAAATAGAGTACCCATCACTAAAAAGAAAAAAAAGAAGAGATTTGCTCAACGAGTATTAGATAACAGACTATAGGTAATATAATGGTTGAACCATCTCGATTCTATTTCTAACTTTATTTGTCATCTAATTTTAATACACTCCTAATTATTGGATCATGTAGAAATATCGAAATACATAAATTTTGAATTATGATTCAATAATTGAAAATGTATTAGGACAAATAGGCAAGATTTAGAGAGAGAGCATCCTGCACTCATATCATTAAAAATAAAATGGGAGAAAAACCAAAACTATAAGATTTATAATGTGTACTCCCTTAAGGCGCACCCCTTAAATATTATACAACGTGATCGAAGTTATGTTGGAATGTGATGAAAGTTACACGCCCAATAATTACATTTGAGCTTTATGATTTGATGTAACTGTTGTCATAACTTTGACACTTAAAAGGATGCTCACCACATATTTGTGTTTGTTGCCCCATGAACTTTTCACTGATACAATTCTTGATTTTCTTGTTTTTTGTTCACGAGTATAACAGAAGCTGGTATAGTTGGAGACAAGGAATGGTATTTCTATAGCATAAGAGAGAGGAAGTACAGGAACAGCATAAGGCCCAATAGGGTCACAGCTTCTGGATTTTGGAAAGCTACTGGGGTTGACAGACCCATATGTTCAACTTCAAATCCCCATGAATGCATTGGCTTGAAAAAAGCCCTAGTTTTTTACAGAGGAAGAGCAGGAAAAGGAACAAAGACTGAGTGGATGATGCATGAGTTTCGTCTTCCAACTAGTAACAACACCAACCTATCTAAAGCAAGAAACATCACTAAGGAACTGGTATGATTCATCACATTTAGAACCCACTATTTTGATTTTATTTTATATATATAACGGGTTTTATGTGCACGTAAATCAATCACAAAATATTTTTATAAAAATGTCATAAAATTAATAGATGAAAAAAAAAATGATTATCCTAAAATAAAAGGAGCTATGATTTTAGATTTACTTATATATTTCAGCTTAGAATAAACATATGTACTGACATATAACAAGTCTTTGACTTCATGGTGTTGCAGGAAGTTTGGACTATATGTAGAGTTTTTACGAGAAGTGTTTCTTATAGGAAGTATGAATCAGATTGGAGGGAAACCCCACTGAAGAAATCATCAATGAAATGTTCAATTCCAAAACCATGCACTTCTTCCAAGTTGGATGTGAGTTATAAGTCTAGAAGCATTGAAAATTCTAAGGAGAAACAAAGGAATAACCAGTTGGTTGCAGGCCACCTGAACTTTTCAAATCCAAATGGGAATTCAATTTCCAAAGATGGGAATTGGGATGAACTGCAACCAATCCTGGACTTTGCACTTCATCCACATATGGTAGTAGGTAAAGATGGAAGGTGGAATTAATGTTGTTTTTTGTTTTTTTATCAACAAAAGTCGGTCAGTTAATTGTTAGATCAAGTATTCATGTCTATCTTGTTCATATCCTATCAATGGATCTATAAGCACAAATAATGTCCCGAGTAGGGATGTACAACACTTTTATTTATGTTTTTATCTATCTAAATGTATCTTTTTTTCACTATTGTAATGCTACACAAAGGTGACTTAATTATTAAGTCATTTAGTCCATCATTTAAGGTTTATTTTAAAAATTTTAATAAATTCTTATTGCCAAAAATCTTAACTTAAAATTTGATATTTAAATTGAGATTTTAAAAAATATTGGACCGCTACTAACAATACAAAAAGTAGGGCATGACCATTTTTCTTAATGTACAAGCTTTATAATTCCAGTGGGTGTAGACAAATGTTTGGGAACACCTTAAAAATCATAAAGTTATCAAACCAGTTTGTCATGAGATCAATTTTTTTTTACGTAGAAAAAATAATTTTTTTAGCAACTTTCCAAATATAAAACTAAAAAGTTTATACATTCAAAAAATCACTATACAGTCAATCCCAAAGGCCTTGTATACTTTATTATGCTCTGTTTGAGAATTAATTATTTTAGTTAATTTCAATTTTTTACAAAAAAAACATGTAAAAAAAAAATTTTAAAAATAATATGACAATTTATATTGACTTAAAAATTAAAGTTCGGTTGATTATAGGGGTCCATTTCAAAAGCTTTCCGGGCTTCTAAAATATGGGCTTCTGCCAAAAGCCCATGTACTCATTCTCACCAGACACACAAATTTCCCCCAATTGCCCACTAAATACTTTGTTATGATAAATATCTTGTATTGTTGGCCGATGTGAGTTCCTTGCCAGTTATTAGTATTATAAACAATAAAAAATAAAAAATAAAAAATTAATTGCATTGATTCACACAAACATATTTTTAATATTTTAAAAAAAGCCAATTAATTATGTGAACCAAACTAGTTATGTTAAGAAGTTAATTAATATCATTGCCCTTTTTTGAATCCCATAATAAAAAAAGTTTTGTGCATTGAAATTGTCTTTATTCATAATCTTCGTATCACTTTAAATCGTATGAGTATTGAATATACTGTCCTTATGTATTTATCTTTTTCAGAATAAAACCATATCTCTATTAATATTTCGGATTTTTCTTTTTTCTTTTTTCTTTTTTTGAGTTGCTAGATAAAGAAAAGGAATAAGAAAATGGAAGTTTCATTGGTAATGATAAGACTCGAACTAGGTATCATGCTTTTTGTAAGGGAGTGAGTTAACTAATCCCATGATCTTAATAATATTTAGACTTTGAGAGAGAAAGAAAGAGAAGTATAGAGTAGACACATGGATGATAGCTTTTAAGTACATGCAAGGCAATGCAATGCAATGCAATGCAAGTCATCTCCACAATCTTTTCTCTCTAGTGAGAAGAGTATGATCCTGTTGTTGGGCATGCTTTGTTTGTATGACACACAAAACGCATGGCAATAAATAGTGATTGGGCCCCTTATGTTCCAATTCCATGAAAATCTTCTTGCTACTTGCACTTTTTTATTTTTTTAATTAAGAACCCAACTAGGCAAAGTGTTCTAGACTCATCTCAAGAATGCAAAACTCACAATACTTGCATTATATTTAAAAAATAAATAAATAAAAAATTAAACTAAACTTGTGGTCTTAGGTAATGAAGGGTTTGTTTGCTGCAATTTATGTTTAAAGGTGATCTAAGAACATCTCTCCTACATAAATTATAAACAGAAACTATAACAAACAGTCTAAAATAGAATATCAAAATAAACAAATAAAAAAAAGCACATTTAAAATGTAACAAACATATTTATGTCTTATTTATTTTATTTTCTTTAAGAAGCTATGTCTATGTAATATACTCCATTTTTATTTTTGTACTAAATTAATTTTATTTTCAAAAAAAATTCAGAAAAGAGATTAAAAAAATCAAACCAACCTTCGGCAATTTAAAGACAATCGGTTCGGTGAAAAAAAGAAGAAGAGAGATTGTGGAATTTTCTTTTGGGAGAGTCAAATCCACAAATCTCTTAAAAAGTTTTCAAACTCATCATACCATTATATCAAGATAGTCACCATGCTTTGTAATAACCTCCAAATAAAGAGCAATGAGCATAATGTTAAAGTGTAGTTCAAAAGGTGACCATACAATGATTAAAGATAAAAACAATTGTCTCCCTTGCTGCTTTGAACATTTTTCTAAAAATATAAATTACTTCATCTAACTTTTTATTATTATTTGTCTCATCACTTATTTGTATGATATTTATGATTGGTTTATTGTATATTAAATATTAGGATAAATTACAAATACATTCTCTGAGGTTTGCTTAAAATATAAATTGTCTCATGTGATTTGAAAAATTATAATACCCCATTGTTAGGATTTTTTATTTAATAAAATTAACTAAAAAAAATAAAATTCATAATTGTTTTCATATCCAATAATAAAATTACCTAAATTATTAATTAAAATATGTTTCTAACATCATTAAAAACTGTTAATCGACTTGATGATTTATTAATAAAAATGACGATTTGTTATGAAATTAGAAACTTCAGGGGGTGAAATGTAAATTCTAGAATCACATGAGGCAATTCGTATTTTAATCAAACTTTAGGGAGTGTATTTGTAATTTATCCTAAATATTACTAAAGTAAAAACTAAGAAAAATAATCTTTTTATAATCAGCCATACAAAATAGTTAAAAAATAAAAATAATAAAATCATATGACTATTATTATTAATTTAATTTCATTTTTGTGAATAATTACAAAAATAAAAAAAATATATGAAATATTAATGGGGAAGTCATGACTAAATAGATCTAGTCATCTCTCCAATTGGACGAAGGTAAACCCAATTTAATATTAGGGCATCTACAAGCTTACAAACTTTTGGAGGAATAGGACCCAAAACTATTTATTATTTTATCCCTATGATTAAGTTTTAAAGAAGATCAATTCAGGCATGAAAGAGAATCTTATCATATCTTATACAACATCCTTTTAATTTAATGGATCTATAATTTTTATTTAATTGGGTAAATCTTTGAGGTTATAAAAAAATATAAATAAATTTCATATGTTTATTATAATTACATAAATTTCTTCTTTAGTAAGGTTAAAATTAGACATAAGGGTGTTTTGGAAACTTGACTTTTAGCCACTCTTAGGTTCGTAGCAAAAAGCCAAAAGGTGGCTATTTTGTATTTTTTTTCATTTGGAAAGTTGGTTTTTAGCCACTGGTAAAATTATAATTCTATCACTTATAAGTCAAAATGTGCTATATGAGTGAAGTTGTAAAAATTTTAAATTAAATAAGGTTAGTTTAGTCATTTTATTGTGATTGAACATCATAAACAAATATTAATAAAAAAAATCAAAAATAACTTTTTACTCAAATCATTTATCTGAAAAAGTCAAAAATTTGGTTAAAAGTCAAAAAAGCACTTTTTACTATCTTTTCAAAATAGGCCATAATAATAACAATCGTAAAATATACACGTTTTTGCCTAAAAGAGATGGTGAAATTATTTTTTCATCCAATGATGAATAAGTAATTGATAAAAAAAGGAGATAGCATTACGTGAATTAAAATTTTGTAAAAACATAATATAATTATTCTATATCTGTAAAATTTAATATGTTTTTTTCAAAATCATAAAAGAATTTAGTGTAATTTACCTTACCTTTTTTTAGGTTTTGCTTAAAAATCACGGCATCAGGTCATTCTCAATAATGATGTTTTCTTCCCACTAAAAATAATGTATTTATTAGTCCATAAGATCACCAAAACACATGGGATGTTTCAGCTCTCACTGGTTTTTGTTTACTTATTATTATTATCATTTATTTATTTATTTTTTCACCGTTAAGAACTTTCAAAGTTAGTCTCCCATCAATATGGTTTTGAAAACAAGTGGCTTATTTTAAAAAAATAAATATAATAAAATTATATAATTAAGTTTATCAAATTAATTTAATTTTTTTTATGAATAATTTGCATGCATATTACAAGTCTTTATACAAAATCATGCGATTATAATTATTAAATAATTTTAAATTCTAAAATTAATTAATTTACAAAATAAAAAAACTATAGCCCAAATCATTAAAATAGAACACAGGCAAAATAAGGGGTTGTTTGGGATGTTATAAATAAATGTACTTTTTCACTTTTTATAAAATATAGGTTGGGTTTGAAATGATGTGGTAGAGAGGTGATGTGACTTAAATAAGATGATACAACTTAAATAGGATAGTAATTTTTTAACTTTTTAACTTTTTTAGAGGATGTCAAACCTAGCCTAAATTATACACAGACAAATTGTTAACTAGCACTATAAGAGCATCTCCAACGGTTCAGTATTTTTTTCACCAAATTTGAGTAAAAAATGGCTCATTTTCTCAATCTGATATCAGTTGCTCTAACGGTACATCAAAAAGAAGAATCATCCCGTGGGTCAACCAGTTGGTCGATCGGTAAGGTAAATTTTTATTAATTTTTTATTTTTTTACCTTTTTGAACTGTTTGAACCTACCTAACCGTTGGTTCAAATTTTTTTTGAACCGTTAAACCAGTAAGTTGAACCAATTCGCAGGCCAATTGTTGAACCATTTGCATGAGTTGGTCGACCACCATGTGTAAAATTTTCATAAATTTCTGTTTTAACGACTATGCACAATGAATTGGTGAAAGGAGCAACCCGTCCTCAGTTTGGTGAAACGTTTGATATTTTCTCAATTTGATACTGTTTTGGTGCAATTGTTAGAACACAAAAAGTATTTATTTTTATCAAATTTAAATTTAATGTTAAATTTGATGAATCGTTGGAAATGGCTTATGTAATAATAATATACTTAAAATTAGATTGAGACAAAGAAAAACAACAAAACTGGAAATATGGAGCCTTGATAAAAGATGTCATGTCAAGAGGATGATTTTAGTGGACCAAATCCAAATCCATGGAGGGAGTTTCTTCCATTGGACCCACCTCCCGCCTCGTGCTTACGCAAAATTATTAAGTAAATTTTTTTTAAAAAAAATTCGTTACCTGATATTTTAATATTTTATGTTAATTATTAACTAATATTAGAGTACTATATTTTGTTGTTTATATTATGTTAATAGAATAGTGTTGACACACTTTTGTTTTGTTAGTAAAAAATATGAAAAGAGTTTAAACACCAAATAAATAATGTCACATGATAAATTTAAGGAAAAATGTCCTTGTTGGGTAGAGGGTGTTATATAGGTTAGATAGACTCATATGGGTCCTATTTAGTATATTTGGTTTGAGTTTTTGAATTAAGTTCTTTGAAAATTGAATTTTTTAGTTTTTGTGTTTTTTTGTTTTTAGTGAATACTTTTAAAATTTTAAACATTTTTTTTTACTTTTTTAGATACACCTTACTTAGATGTATCTAAAAAGTAAAAAATTTGTGAAAAAATATTTTTAAAAATTAATAAATACATAAAAATACAAAAAATGTACTGAATTCTCATTTTTTTTATATTTTTGGTATTTAGTGAATTTTTAAAAGGTTTTTTTCAATTTTTTTTTTACTTTTTAGGTATATTTATGTTAGGTATGTCTAAAAATTAAAAAATTTGCTCAAAATATTAAAAAAATTCAGTAAAAACAAAAAACACGAAAAATAAGAAAGTAAAATTTTTTGAAAAGTGTTTTTGAAAAGTGGTAACCAAGCAAGCTATTACGATTTGTCGAATAAATTATTCATAGAAAAAATAAAATTAAGTGGGTATTTGTAATCATATGACAAAATCACACTTGATGTAAAAAAAAAAATAATAATAATGAACGGTTGATTTTTTAAACAATCAGAATATGACCGTGTAGTTATTATTAAAATCTAACCAATTTAATTTTTCACAAGAGTGACATGCTTAATAAATTTATAAGATGAACTGTTCGCATCATTAATATATGTCCAAAATTATCATCTCTAAGACAATTACCCTATTTTTTAAAATTTTTTTGGGTGCAATGGAAGCCCACTTACCCTAATTCTCTTGCTTATATATAATGTTCATCAACTCTCCCCTCCCCCCTTCCCTCCCTTTACTTTTTGTCCACTCCCTTTCCCTTTCTCCTACTAGCACTTTTTTTTTCCTCATCGTCTCCCCCTCTCTCTCTGGCCCTGCTGTCTCCTCTGACTCTTCTCCTCCTACCTAGTAGTACTTCCATACTGTCTTATTAATGTTTTGTTTTTAGGCCAAAGTGTCCTCCAAATCAAGGGTAACAAACACCAACTTGTCCTTAGACAGTATAGACTGAAGCATGAAAGATAGTGGGAGGAGAGTGGGTGGAGGAGGAAGCTCATCACCATGTGCAGCCTGCAAGCTTCTGAGGAGAAGGTGCTCTCAGGACTGTGTTTTTGCTCCTTATTTTCCAGCAGAAGAGCCTCACAAGTTTGCCAATGTTCACAAAGTGTTTGGTGCTAGCAATGTCAACAAGATGTTACAGGTAACCAAAATTTCATAATTCATTTCTAAATTTTGTCCTCCATTATTCAAAGCTTCAAACTTATTAATTGTTTGTATAGTTTTATTTCTTTTTCAAGAGTGAAAGAGACATTAAATTAAATACACATACACTATTTGAAAGCAACTTCTTAAAAGAATCACGATTTCGTGATGAATTTGGCATCGGCTTAAAAAGTCAATTTATTGACTAAAAAAAATTCAATTTTGCTAAACAATTTTTAGCTCGTTAGACAAATTCATTTTCTGTCAAAACCCCATTTTAACCCCTCTAAAAATTTATTAAAAAGTCAATAAAAAAACTACATTCTTAGTCTTCATTTTTTTTTAAAAAAACCAATAAGTTAGAGCTAATTTTCAAAGGCTCTCTCCTAAAGTTGCCCCTATTTATGTTTGAATATATTATTATTCTTATAAATTTTTTATACAAAAATTTTCGTGAAAATGATATGGCTGTGATTTTTTTTATAATTAAATATTATTTTAATATGCATTCTATTTTAAAATGATAAGTAACTACGCTACCACTAGTTGTTAGTAGACCTCGTTTGGGAACTTACCTTTTTAGTCAAAAAGTTATTAAATTAGGCCTCGTTTGGCAAGAGGCTATTTTAGCCAATTAGCCAAAAAGTTACTAAATTAGCCAAAAAGCCAACAACCCATACCAAAAAGTCAAAGATTGTCTTTTCTTTCTACTTTTTGCACATCTTTTCGTAATTAGCCAAAAAGTCATCCCAAACATACAAGTTTTTTTTACCTACCTTTTTAGCCAAATAGCCAAAAAGTTACTAAATTAGCATGTTCCCAAACGAGGCCAGTCAAAAAGTCAACAACTCATACAAAAAAATTAAAAATTCTCTTTTCTCTCTACTTTTTGCACATCTTTTGGTAATTAGCCAAAAAGTCATCCCAAATATACAAATTTTTTTAGCTACATTTTTAGCCAAATAGCCAAAAATTTATTAAATTAGCCTGTTTCCAAACGAGGCCTTAGAAAGAAAATTATCTTTTTTGACCCCTTCAAAATATATATTATTTATTTCAGCTCCTCTAAAATTTATATAATTTTAAAATATCTCATTATTTCTAGGTAATTTTGAGTATTTATTATTAAAAATAAAAAATAAAAAAAATTATCTTTTTGGCACCCAAAATCTATAGAATTTTACTTTAGCCCAACTAAAATCTAAATAATTTTACCTTAACTCCCTTTTGCACAATTCTGGGTCCACTATTAGCCATATCATTTTGTATATTTTTTCTATTTATTTATCGGTATACCTCATGTTATGGGTGTGCGAAATTATTATTATTTTTTTTAAAATTTCTTTGCTCTTTTTTAGATGAAGAGAGTCTTTGTTTTGATCATAAAAATAAATAAATAAATTGAAAGGTGAATGCACTCAAATAATATATACTATATTCATTCTAGTTGGGTTTCTATCATATTCATAATGAATTTTGATCCCACATTAACTAACCATTCTTCTCTTTTAACAAAGAAAATTGCACACCTAAAATTAAAAATTAAAAAAAAATCTAAGTATACATAATATTATCATAGAATTGGACACTACTCTCTTAGATGATAAGGTGAGACTCATTAATGTATAAGTCCTATTTTATATGAGAGACTTATATCTGATTTTGTGATTGTATTTTGAACAGATAAAAATAAAATAAAATGACATAAAACAACCCAATAAAATGACATAAAACAACCCTCATCTCTATGTAATCACTTTGATATAGATGGATGTATTGGCAAGTCATTAAGTCAAATTTATACTCTTTTTCTTTTTTGCTAATTTTCCAAAGGTTATTTCGTGGATCACGTGAAGGAGTTGTTGCTGTATTCTCTTTTCTTTTTTGACTTTTTGTTATTCTTTTTTAAACATCAACCAAGTCGATCCAATTAGCTTAGTTGACGTGGGCTTGTAGCTCTCCTGCGCTATAGAATTGGCCCAATTTTACCTGCTTTTTAAAATTACATATTATCATGGGCTAAAGCCCATTTCATCAATGGACTTTCAGGAATTACCGGAGCTCCACCGAGGGGATGCGGTTAGTAGCATGGTGTATGAAGCTAATGCCCGGGTCCGAGACCCGGTTTACGGGTGTGTTGGAACCATCTCTTCTCTACAACAACAAATTGATGTTCTCCAAACTCAATTGGCCCTAGCCCAGGCTGAGGTGGTGCGCCTACGGCTCCGGTTGAGTGCATCCTCCATTTAACTTTTCCAATCTGTCATCCCACACATTCTATGAACACAAAATCAATCACAAAAAATATATGTAGCCATAGATGTATAGCTACATGTATTTTTCTTGATTGGTGTTGTCATATGTGATTGGTAAGTGCTTATATCCTAATTATCATATTTTAATGTATGACACTAAACCTACTCGAGTATTTAAGTAGGTCAAATCTTCTGTCTCACTCTTTTTTGTTCATCTGTTTCAAATCCCCTCTCTACTACAAGATCAGAGTCAGATAGAGATTTTATAATAAAAAAAATGTTTGAGATAGGAGAATATAGAAGAGTAAAGACAGAGTATCCTAAACAGTATTAATGGGCCTTAATTATCATGTCATAGCAACATTGTACGTATATCTTAGTTTATATATCCCGAAAAGAACTTCATTTTCAAATTTATGATATGTGTAGATTTAAACTTGGTGTGGTATAGATTGCAATTAGAATTAATCTAATCCAAACATTTTAGTGGGTAAAATACATTATTGATCTTCTAATTTGAGTAAAATTTAATGATTCTTATAATTTGAATTTTCATCAATTTATTAATGAGTAATTTTGATGTTATGAAAATTTTATAACTAAGTAGTTTGTTTCTCACTAAATTTTATCACCTTTGATGACAAATAAAATGGACAAAATATAAAATGATGACAATAAATAAATAAATTATTGAGATGATTATATTTTCAGTAGGTGAGGTGGGTATAAGTCCTAATGCAAAAGAAGTAAATCACTTGAAAAATGGATAATGTATATAAATACTCTTCAAATGTATAAATCTCAGTATTAAATACTGGCACTTTAATAACAAATATACAACATAAATAATGTATTTAAATTCCAACAAACAAACAACATTAAATTTGATTAGGAATAGCAGACACAAAAGTTATTCTTCATTTAATTTTGTGTATATTTATGATTAATCAATTTTGTTTGTGTACTTGATTTATATTTAATCTCCAACTATTAATAATAATGACAGATTGACAGCATATTTTTAGTTCAAGTTTAGAAATATATATATATATATATATATATCTTAAAACATATGTCTTTGTGTTTAAGTATAATTGTTCAAATTAAAATTTTAATTTGAACTAAATTAATCTAACGATCCCTAAACCATTACCGGAACAATGATAAAATGAAGTATAAGATATGCGATTTGTGCCACTTTCTCCAAAATTTTGATTTTTGTAAATTTATCACTAAACATTAGGGGTACAATTTGAGCAGGCTCAGTTAGATTGTGAGATTGTCCAATCCCAATTCAAGTTGGTATGAGATCTGTCCAAACTCGAATTATAACCCGAGATTACTTGTTCAAGTCCGACCTGAGATAAACTCGAATTGATCTAGTTACCCAAATTGTAAATGATTTTTATTTATTTATTTATTTATTTGTGCAGCTACTTCATTAAATTATTAAAAGCTGACTCTATTTACATTTTTTTTAAGAAAGTCATTAACAACATCAAAATAAATAATTTATATAATATAAGAGATATGTCGCTATAGTAGTCTTTACAATTTATGAGTGAGAATAAAAAAAGTAAGATTTTTTATTATTTGTATATAAAATATATATTCAATATGATTAATAATTTAGTTTACTTTAATATCATATAATGGCTAATAATTTATATGTGTATTTAATATTTTTATATATAATTCGGATTTCGGGGCGCTTAGGTTGTTTGACGTCTTTATCCAAGTTCGCCCAAATTTATTTTGAACTTTTGAATTTTTGCCCAAATTCGTAACAAATTTAAAAATATCTTGTACAAACCCTAAAAAAATTTAGATTAGGTGTGAGTTGCTCGAGTCGAACTTACCTAAGTTGCACTCTTACCAAACATTGCAATGCTATAATTTGACTTCCTAATTAGTGTTGAACAACAAAATTGATATAATTTTTTTTAAAAATTGAATCAAATTGACACTGGATACATACTTTCACATGTTTATGTTATTATCATTATGTTAATAATTTAAATGACTTTTTCAAAATTAGACTAATTTCACTTTGATTATAAAAAAAAAACATTTAAGGATAAAATTAGCAAAATTAAAACTTTATGGGAGTTTCTAAATGCACCCTAAATAAATTGTGGACACCACACTTTTCATTATTTTTATTAATACTATTTTATCCCCAACTCAAATTATCAGAAAGGACAAAACTCGCCACTCACACTATTTATAATCCGCTTTTTCCCCTTCAGCCACCTTGCCACACCACTATCGTCGTCGACGACTATAAACCACCTCACCACCACCACCAAGTACATGAACAGCCTCAACTTTCTCATCCTCCTCTCCACCCTCCATCGCCTCTTACGTGTGCTATTACGCTACCCGCCACCGTCAAAAACCTAATAACACCAACGCCACCTCGAAGTTGAACAATGGCACCGTCCTATGTTGTATAATCTTCATTTCCAAATACAACAATTAAAATGCCATTGTTAGACTTGATTTCACGATTATCAATTTGTACTCCAAATTTTCTTTCTTGAATAACTACGATAGCAGTATCAAGCATTCGATCTGTTTGTGCAAGCAGATTGTATTGTGGATGTTACCAAATTGGGATTATGATTAGGGTTTCAGAGGGAGGGAATGAGATAAGTAATGGGTGATAGGAAATGGAGGGAAGGGAAAGAAAATGGTACAGTGGCGTCAAGGAAGAAGAGTGAGTGAGTGGCAATGAACTAACAATCTTATTAAAAATATACATGTTCAAATATTATTGAAAATTTAAATATTATTTTTTTAATAACTAATCACATTTAGCTTATTATATTTTTAATAAGATATTTATTAAGATTGTTACTATATATAGAATAGGCTTAGTTTGAAAAATGAGTTGACTTTTTAATTTTTTTTAACTATTTTAGCTTAGGGGTAAATAGTCTAATTTGGAATTTTTTTTTATTTTTTTTTAACTTTTTTATGAGAGAAAGAATGTAATGACTATAGGTTGAATATAATGTTTTGTCTTATTAAGACTAAAAAACCTATTTTGTTTATGGCTATTTTAACCCCAAACACATCCAAAAGCACTCCTCAAACAGTGACTAAAGTGAGGTAGGTGAAATTCAAATTCAATAAGATTGTTAGTTCAAATTCAATAAGGTGAGAATTAATTGAGATGTTGCAAATAAATAACAAAATTCAAATTCAAATTCAAAATTAAAATTAAAATTAAAATGAATGAAAAGTGTTCAAAAATTATTTTTTTATTTTTGTTGTTGATGTGTAGCTAAAGGGCATAATTTAAAGATAACCCATTTTATCCAATTAGTTCATATGCAATGTAACAATTTATATGAATATTACAATACAACAAACATACATACATACATACATACTATATTTTCATCATAATTTTTTTTAATTTAGCACTAACAAAAAAAAGTTGCAAACCAGTATTCAGGGTTAACAATCACTTCACTAGGCAAAGGCAAACAATTTTAAAGAAGTATTAGATTACATAAGACCAACCCAAAAAAACACACACACATACACATGAACAACAATTTTAACAAGAGGAATTGAAATCAAACGGTGGGATCAATGAGATCACCATTAACGAACTCTCTGTACGCCGCCACAGGCCAGCTAAACCCTCTAAACAGGAGGCTGGAAGCCAACGGTACATCAATAATGATCTCTTTCTGGGTCGGCTTCTTATCATCTCGGATAGCAATAAGGTAGCTCCGACCCACCCACCCGATCCACCCAGCAATATACAAGAACAAAATACCCGGAGTTATAAACTCGCCCCAGTGTCTCTGGTCCCCACTCACTATCAAATGGGGCAACCCGTCCGACCCGCATAAAAGTCCCTGTTTTCCATAATTCGCGAACCTTCTCGACGTCTTCTCCATCGTCGCTTTGATCGCCAGTGCCGGCGCGCTGTCCGGCGCGTATAGCTTGAGCGACGACTCCAGCTTCTTCAGCTGCTGTTTCTCGCGCTTAGCGAACTGCTTTGAGTCCTTGCATGGAGTCAAGCCGGCGATGTCGGCTGAAGCCGGCGGGATTGGAGCCGCGGAGATGAGGATTGAGGAGAGAGCTAAGGCGGCTGAGAAGGCTTGGAGAGCCGATTTGGTGGAATCGGGTTGTGGGTCGGGTGAGGAGGATGAGCAGAGGGTTGTGGATCTGGGTTTTAGGGTTGATTTTTGATGGGTTGAAGTGTGTTTTGCATTTGCTAGAGGTCTGTAGAGGTTTGTTGAGGGGATTGTGAGAGACATTTTTGATTTTTTGAAGAGAGAGAGAGAGAGAGAGAGAGAGAGAGAGAGAATTGGGGGAAGATGGAGGAGGGGGAAGGTGTTTTTAGATTTGGGCAGAGGGGAGATTGGTGGTGGGAGTGTGGATAAGGCGGGAATGAGTTATGGGAGCTGAGGTGGAAGGTTGTGATTGGATGAGGGCGTTTGGTTGTGGGTTGATGAGATTCTCTATCTATCTTTTCCTTGGAAAGAAGAATTAAAACAGCTAAATAATATAATCATTTTTTAAAAATGTTTAAATTATTTTCGTATCGAATGTGTCAGTAGAAATTAGCGAAACACACTAAAAATAATTTTTCTTTTGGACACTCAGACTAGAATACAACTCTATTTTTGAAATTTTTGAGTTAAAAAGATATTACATTCAAACAAAACATTCTACTTGTTTAAAACTTAGTTATATGTCTATTTAGATTTCGTTCGAAAATAGACTTTTTAGTAACTTTTGATTCTTTTATTAAAATATGATGTAAAAAAAATTAGTATATTTGGAATGACTTTTTGATTTTTTATGAAAAAAATATATAAAAAGAAAAGAGAAAAGAGAATCTTTAACTTTTTGGTATAAGTTGTTAGTTTTTAATTTTTTTAGTGACTTTTTGACTAAAAAAGGCACTTGTCAAACGAGTCTTTAGGTCTCGTTTGGCAAATGGTGATTTTAGCTAAAAGTCAAAAATTACTAAAAATTTCAAAACGCCAACAACCTATATTAATTTACTCAAATGTCACCTAGGTCTATTTTGAAAATAAGAAAAAAAAAAAGTTAGTTTATTGACTTATTTTGAGTCATTTCATTTCTTTACTTTTTAATATGTTTTTTCAAAAAAAAAATCAATAGCAAAAAAAAAAGTCACTTTTCAAAATAGGTCTTGAATGTACTCGTGCCATCTATCTGTGCAATTATGTGTTTAAATATCTCATTATCTATATACGTGTCCAACTCACTACCACCAACTATGGCGTTGCCAACGACTTTTTTAGTAATATTTTTTATTTTTTTTAGCAGCTGTGACTTTTTTACCGAGTTTTCAGTGTGTATCCTTTTCACTAAAAAAAAAAAAAATATTAACTTGAATTAAATAACATAGGACCATATATGAATAGATTTTTCACCAATAAACTCTTTAATTTTAGTTAAAAAATAAAGAAAAGAAAAATAAAAGAAAAAAAAGTAGCTATTGTACCAATTAGTCCAAAGTAGTTAAACAAAATATAAAGGTTGCATTTGGTTTAGTTTTTGTTGGTTTTTTTTACTTTCAAGGGTTAATAATGTAAATTTAAGCGTGTCAGCAATGATCAATTAGTCCTTATAGAATTTATAATTGCCAACCAATTATCAAGCGCTTGTGTTGAAATTCTTTCAATCTCAATGAAGAGGACTTTCACCGGTGGTTTGTTTTAGGAGAAAATTATAAATAGTAACACGTAAATATAATTCAGAAATCGAATTTCATTAAGTAAATAAAAACTTACAATGAAATTACAATGACCCAATCTCGACGAAGTTCACAACAACAAACTACTGAAAAACTACTCCTAAGAATTGAAGTGCAATACAGGAATTGAAGTGCTAGAAATGTAAAGAATTGGAAATGTAAAAAACTGGAAAGAAAATATGAAATAAATGGCTGGTTTCTAGATCTGAGTCTGGGGCCTTTCTATTTAGCTTTCTCTACTATTTATAGTTGTTATTGGTAACCATCGAAGTGGCCTTTTAACCGTTGAAATACACTTCCACGATTTTTGGTCATGGCTTTACTCAACTAGCTTCCATTACGCCTCTTTTGCAGTTAAGTTTCCCTTTTGAACTTGAATTTGAATTGTAAATAATCGTTGGACTACGCCATCTCACGCCTCTTGACTATTCCGATGTTATGCAGATCCGGTTCTAACAATACGAACTGTCACGTGTCCATCTTTGATTGGAGACTTGCATTAATTCCCTCCATTGCCCTTTAAGCGTTACGTGTCACTCTATGATTAGCTTTTACAAATTATACAGCCAACAATTTTAGAATTGTGATTCTCTTTTTAGAGTTATGATTTGAGTGTGGAATTGTAAGTTAAGTTTTGAAAAAAGAAAATTTGTTTGGTTATGAATTTTAAAAAGAGTTTTGAGTTGTATTTTGAAAATTTTTAATTTATTTTTTAAAAATATTAAAAAATCTTTTAAAAAAATTATTTTTTATTTTAAACATTTTATTTTATTTTGTAAATATTTTAATTTTAATATTTTAAACTCAAAACACAACTTGACACTCAAATCGTAATCAAACGCATAACTCAAAATTCGATTCAAAACTTATTTTCAAAACTAATAATCAAATAAATAACTCGAAACTCCATACTACTTTCAAAACTTTACACTCAAATAATATCCAACGCAACTCAAATAATAACCAACACATAACAACAAAAAAAAAAAAAATTAAAATAAAATAAAATATATATATTTTTAAATTTTTAATATTAAAAAAAATACAACACATAAATATATGAAATATAGTGCACATTAAAATAAATAAATAAATATTTAAAATATAAAATATTTACCCAAAAATTAAGAAATTTTTTAAATATTTTAAAAAATGAATCCAAAAAATTTCAAAATACAACTCAAAACTCAAAATATAACTCAAAACTCATAACCAAACAAATTTTCTTTTTCAAAACTCATACCTCAAAACACGACTCCACACTCAAATCATGATTTTAAAAAACAAAATAAAAACATTTTTTTGAATTTTTTCTTTTAAAATAGAGTTTTGAAAAGAGTTTGGTTTTGAGTTTTCTACTTAAATACAAACGTATATTTACAGAGTTGTTACTCACAGATAGCTTTAGAAGCAAAACAGATGAATCAGACAGATTAGATGGATACTGGCGTATGACCTACACAAACACGTGGCAGATACGCCCTGAAACACATTTTCCATATTTTGCTAAACGTAATTTAATTCCTTCTAGTGTTTTTCTAATTCATATCCTCATTATTATAGCCTAAGCCATGACTGAAGAATGCCTAGGATGAAATGAGGATACAATTATGCACTTGAAACACTTGACAAATTTGTTTGAAAACAGAGTTGTTTGTTCGAGCGGAGCTTTGGTCGCTCGAGCGGACCCTTCGGCCCGCAAAAGTATTGGAAGCTCTCATTTTACACTCGAGCTAACTTTTTGGTCACCCGGGCCAAGGCTCAAAACAAAGGGTAGTCACTCGAGCGGTCTTTTAGTTGCTCGAGCCAACCATCAATCTCTACAAAAGTACTGAGAGCTTTAAAGTACGCTCGAGCGAAGGAACCATCGCTCGAGCGAACCCTACAAATTCTGAAATTTTCAGATTACACTTACAAGTTCAAAACATAAGTTTAACACATCAAAACTCATTCTTTTGGGCCAAAACTTTAGAAAACACTTAGAAACTTGTAAAAAAACATGAAATGAAGTTCAATTCAAAAAATCAAAGCCTAAAAGCATGCAAATTCTTCAAAACTATGCTCTTCTTTACATGTTATGAACATGCATGTGATAATTTAAGTTCTATTCTTTGAAAACATGATCAATTAAGACAAAATGACATAGAACATGATGAATTTCCAAAACCAAGTTAAAATAATGACATGCATGAGAAAATCCTTGGAATTTAACTTCATGTTGTTATAAAATATGCATGCATGTATGATTTGTTTTCCAATTCTACTTTATTAGTTCAAATCATTGTTTTGAAACTCGGACCGATTGGACCGAGAACCAGGCCTTGTTCTATTTCGGTAAACCCTCTAAACCCTGACTGAGGCCAAAACCGGTGTAAAATTGAAAAATCGGTAGACCTGGCGATCGAACTGGTGACCCAAATCGGATTTTGAGGGTCGGCCCTTTTTTTTAATATTTTTTTCTTATTTTCTTTCTTTCTTTCTTATATTTATATATATACATAAATATATTTCAAAATTTTGATTGAAAATTCTGATTTGAAGAGTCTCCTCTCATAAGGAAGAGTCTCATTGGAAGTTTGAGGAGATTATGAAAGTTTATTGCTATTTATAGGAAAATATTTTTCAAAAAGAACCTACAGAATTCTATGTGGGGTTCAATCAAATTATTTGAATCATGTTAATTAGGGGGAGAGTTGAAAATTTCATTTCCCTCCAAAATTAAATCTAGCGTTCAATTAATTTGTTTGAAGGCAATATTAAAAAAATTTAATTTCTTTAAAACAAGTGACTTTTTCTTATCATTTATGACTTTATTAAATATTATTAATAAATATCATGCAACAATTTTTATTTTTATTTGAGTATTTATATATATTTTTATTTATTTATAATTTATAATTATATTTTGATTATATAATATTAATTATGACCTCACCATATAATTGCTTTGACCCGATAGTTGAACCAGTGACCCGTCCACCCGATCCCTTTTCCGGTTCGCTCATCGGTTTGGTTTTCAAAACATTGGTTCAAATCATACATTAATTCCTACACTCTCTTGAATTCTCATAATTTGTGACTTAAACACAAAAGTTGGGAGTTGATTACTTACCTAAAGTCTTGAAGTAACAAGAATTCTAAGTTGTTCTTTCCAAATCTCCAAATCTCTAGCTTAAATTCCTAATTGCCTTGCCCTTCTCTCTCTCTAACTCAAGTTCTCTCTCTCACTCTATATTTGAGCTCAAGAAGATGATAGAATAAATGATTTGCTAAGCTTATATCATATATTTATAGGTTGGATTAACTTAAGCTAATTAAGATTAGAGTTCATTTAATATAACTTAATAATTAATTTATTCTAATTATTTGGATTCGAATCAAAATCGAATTAACCTTACCATAAGGTTCTAAAAATTTTAAATAACGCATTGACCTAGTCAATTTCATGTTTAGTTGCTGATAAGGCTTTCAAATTCCATATTGAAACAAAAATTCAGACAAATATTCCTACAACAGACAAATATAAATTCACATAACATGCAAAACACAGAATTAACACATAATTATTTAATTAGAGTATTAGCTAATTACGA